GTTGTATTTTGAAGTATTATTGTATATTCATATTGAATAATTGAGCTGTAAGTTACAATATTTACACTTTTGCTTACACTCAATTAAATTGTTTAAACTTTAAGACTTTCACTTACTAGGTGCTATTCAACAGGTATTATCTCTTTAAAATAACAAAAATAAAATATTTTAAAATATTTTTGACTTTACTAAGTTAATATATAAATTATAATTAACTAAATAAACTATATAAAGATAAATATTTAATAATTAGAGGTGCTAGATTTATTAAGAGTTTTGTAAAAGATTGAAGAATAAATAGGAATAATAATTAGTGTAAAAATCTGAACATTTTATTTAATTCATCCTTAGTTCAATCATGTGTTTGAAAATTTTTAGTTAGTTTTAATAATTCAACTGCTGCAAGACAAGCATTATCATTTTGTTATACTTTTTCTGGTATATTCCAGAATACTTCATTAATTAGAGTTTTAGATATCATTTTAGAATGTATTTGTTCAAGATTATAGCCCACAATTAAAGCTCTGAAAATTCCAATTCAATTCAGGTTAGAGGTCAATCTAATCTGATTTGGGATTTTCAGTTTGAATTATAAATCCAAAAAATGTCAATCTGAACTAAACTGATTTGAAACTTTTGAATAATCTGATCTAAACTGAAAATTTTTAGATTAATCTAAAATTTTAGGTTATTAAATACTAATAAAAATCGCTCTGACAGTTTGAACATGACCTTTTTCTAATAAATGTCACCTCTGTTAGTTTAGTTATGATAATAAAAACTGCTTCTGATAGTTCAGGTGTGACTAAGGTTGTTGGACAAAATCAAGAGTTTAGATAGACATCTAAATGGTAAAAGTAAAACTTAGTTAAATTATATTAAAACCTTATTGAAAAATCTGCAAAATTTGAAAAAAGGTAAAACTATATCAAAGCTTATAAAAATGGCGAAACTATATCAAACACTTAGTAAATTTAGCGAAACTAAAGGTTTTACCATTTTGCCAAATCCAATATGAGTTTAGACAAGCAACCTTGGGTGTGACATTATTAGAAAATATCATACCTAAAGTATTAAAGATAACTTTTATTAGAAAAAATTATAATAAATTCATCTCCAAATTGCAGGCAACTTTAATTATAAAAAATAATAATAAAAGTCACTTCCAAAATTTTGGATGTGATAATAAAAGCTACCTCTAACAGTTCAGATGCAGTTTTATTAAAAAAAGTTATATTTGAAGTATCAGAGATAGTATCTCGCACAGAAAGAATCAGATCGGATTTGAACAAAATCTGATTCGATTTGAATCTGAAAAATCTGAATCCAATTCTATTTGAATTTAACAAATTCAAATCCAAATCTGTATCCGATTGATCAAAAAATTTTTTTATCAAAATTTGCCTCCACCGTTCAGAATGGCATTTTAATGCTAAAAAATAACAAAATTGTTATTTTTTTAACATAAATCCACCTCTGACATTTAGAATGGCGTTTTAATATTAAAAAAATAACAAAATTGTTGTTTTTTTTAACAAAAATCTGCCTCTGACATTTAGAATGGCATTTTATAGCTAATTTCATAATTCGTGGACCACTAATAAATTGCGACTGAATGTAACTGAAAATATTTTATAATAAAATTACTAGAAAATATTGTGACTGAATGCGACTGAAAAATTATTAATAGTCTATGAATTAATAAAATTAGCTGTAATGTTAAAAAATAACAATTTTGTTGTTTTTTTAACAAAAATCCATCTCTGACGTTCAGATCGGCATTTAATTATTAAAAATTGATTTTTTAATAATAAATATCACGTCTGACTTTTAGGACGGTATTTTGTTATTAAAAATTAATAAAATTTTAATTTTTTATTAATAAATGTCACGTTCGTCTTTTAGAATAGCATTTTAATATAAAAAATTAATAAAATTAATTTTATTATTAATAAATGTCGCATCCAACTTTCAGGGTGGTATTTTTATATAAAAAATTAATAAAAATTAATTTTTTTATTAATAAATGCTGCGTCTGACTTTTAGGGTGACATTTAAATATTAAAAATTATTGAAAATAAAATTTTTTAATAATAAATGTTACGTCCAACTTTCAGGGCGGCATTTTAATATAAAAAATTAATAAAAATTAATTTTTTTATTAATAAATACCGCATCTGACTTTGAGGTAGAATTTTATTATTAAACATTAATTTTTTAATAATAAATGTTGCGACTGACTTTCAGGATAGCATTTACATATTGAAAATTAATTTTTATTAATTTTTTATTAATAAATGCTGCGTCTAACTTTCAGGACAGCATTTTAATATAAAAAATTAATAAAAATTAATTTTTTATTAATAAATGTCGCATCTGACTTTTGGGGTGAAATTTTATTATTAAACATTAATTTTTTTTAATAATAAATGCCGCTTCTAACTTTCAGAACAGCATTTTGTTATAAAATTTAATTTTTTTAGCAATAAATGCTACGTCTGACTTTTGAGGCAGCATTTTAATATAAAAATTAATAAAAATTATATTTTTTATTAATAAATATCGCATCTGACTTTTGGGGCAGCATTTTATTATTAAACATTAATTTTTTATTAATAAATGTCGCCTCTGACTTTTGGGATGGCATTTTGTTATTAAAAATTAATTTTTATTAATTTTTTAATAATAAATGCTGTGTCTGACTTTCGGGTGACATTTTATTATTAAAAATTAAATTTTTTTAATAATAAATGTCGCATCTGACTTCAGGGCAGCATTTTTTTATTTCAAATCCAACAAATCAGATCTGAATCCAAATCTGAATCTGACAGATCGAATCTGAATCCAAATCCAAATCTGTCAGATTAAATCAAATTCAAATCCAAATCTGATCCAGATCTGACAGATTGAATCAAATCAAAATCTGGATATGAATCTGATTCGAATCTGATAAATCTGATTCAATCTGATTTGTCGGATCCAGATCAGATTCAGATTGAATTGGATTTTTTGCAGAACACTAGTCAGAGGTGACTTTTATTAAAAAAAATGATAATATAGTCGCATTTGAACTATTAGGCAACTTTAATTATAAAGCTATTAATAAAAGGTTTTTCAAAAGTTCAAATGTGATAATAAGGCTACCTCTGACAGTTCAGATGCAGCTTTATTAGCAAAAGCCACATTCTAACTGTCAAAAGTAACTTAAATAGAAAAAATGATAATAAATTTGCTTCTTAAAGTTCAGATAATATAAAAAAAGCTGTCTCCGACTGTTTGAATGTGATTTAATTAGAAAATGTTAAAGCTGAAGTGTCAAAGACAACTTTTATTATAAAAATAATAATAAAAGCTGCATTTGAATTATCAGAGGTGACTTTTATTATAAAATATGATAATAAAGTTACATCTGAACTATCAAGCGACTTTTATTATAAAAAAAATAATAAAAGCTACATCTGAACTATCAGAAGTGACTTTTATTATAAATATGATAATAAATTCGCATCTGAACTGTCAAGGAGACTTTTATTATAAAATATGATAATAAAGTCGCATCCGAACTGTTGGGCGACTTTTATTATAAAAAATAATAAAAAAAAGCCGCATCTGAACTGTCGGATGTGATAATAAAAGCCGCCTCCGATAGTTCGGATGCGGCTTTCTTAGAAAAAGTCACACCCTAAGTGTTGGAGTCGACATTAATTATATTATAAGAATAATAATAAATGTCGCAGCCGAACTGTCGGAAGCGACTTTATTATATTTTTTCTAATAAAAAGTCGCCCCGACAGTTCGGATGCGACTTTTATTATTATTTTTTATAATAATAGTCCCCTCCAACAGTTCGGATGCGACTGTTATTATTATTTTCCTAGCACCGATAGTTCGGTGCGACTATTTTTTATAACAAATGTTGCACCCGAACTGTTGGAGGCAACTTTATTAGTATTTTTTTTTAATAAAAGTCGCTTCTGACAATTCGGGTTTGACTTTATTGTATTTTTAAAAGTCCGGATTGAATCCGTTCGGTTCGGATTTTTTCGGTTCGGATTGAATTTTAATCTGAAAAAAATCTGAACCGATCCGAAATTTTTCGGATTGATTTTTTTACAATCCGAACGAAAAAAACCGAACTGAACTGAAAAATTTTTGGATTGATCCGAAGCTTTATTAATTACAAACAAACTTTAATATTGGTCATAATAATCTAGCATTAACAATAGATAATAAAAGTACATATGATAATCAATTAGATCACGAATTTAATAATATATCTATGACACATTTTTGATACATTGCTCATATTATAATTGATAGTAAAAGCTGAAATATTAGAAGATAAAATTAAAAGGCTTTGCTAATTTATTATTAAATTAAAAAAATTATTGGATAAATTTGTACTATTAAATTCTAAAACAATTATAGATATAGATACTTATTAAAATTCTACATTGACAAATTTTAATACAAAATATGCATGTAACAATAAATTCTATATTATAATAATATGATTTGCTATAACAATTATTATTTATTTTTATTAATTTACAACCTATATTCAATGCTGAAATTATTCAATGATTTAAAAACCAAAATTTTAAACTTAATCGGTCAAGAGATGTCATATAACGAATTAGACTGATCCTTTAAAATTAATAAGAAATATCCGATATTATTACAAATGGCCAAGGATTTTTGACAATAATTTCTTATATTTTTGTAATAAAAATATTTCGGTATTTGGGTAGTGGATTTTTTACTTATGTTAAGATTTATGATTTAATATAAATCAGTTCGAATTTATCGTTAACATCTCTAATAATAACGTATTTAGTAAAACTTAAAAAATTAATAATTATGTGATATTTCAAAAATGATCCCAATCACGATAGATTAATTTGATATTTTTAACCAATAAAATCAAATAAGTTGAATGTTCATTATGCAGTGAATGATAACAATAAACGTTTTCGCTATTTTCATTAACATTAATTAAAATGTTTGATAACTTTTATCAAAATCAAAAGCTACTTCGCGATGAACCTGAAGTAACCGATTTTTTAAAAGCAAAGTTAGGAGTTAATGTAAATGATCTTTTAAATTTTATCACTTTTCCTTTTTTTTCTTTTTGTTTTTACATACGAACGCGTTATCATGAATGAAATTTTTTTCTAGTTTGATGGCACCGAACGAGAATTTACTGGTTTTATGGCAAGTTTTTTGATGGAGTATAATGTAATGTCCTTCGATATCAACCCAATAGACCCTAATCACGATGCCATAAAAAAAGTTCTAAGACCAGGTTAGTAAATTTATGATATGAAAATATTTTGAGTCAGATTTATTTCTAAAATTGTTTTCCTTTTTTAGATTCCCTTTTCGAACCAGGAATTCAAGATGCTGTTCGCGAATATCTTGAAATCGCATCCGAAGGAAGTACTGCAATATTCTCTTCATTGGTCGTATCATACAGAGGCTTTCCTAGCAGAGCTAATGTCTTGATGAAAATGATAAATACTTTCTCCGATCCGAGTCAATCTAATCCGGAAGATGCAACGGCAAGAGGTCGTGAAGAAGGATTCGAATGTTTGAAGAAAGTTTTAAAGACAAAGTATGATGCCAAAAAAATAGATGAAGCTCTTTTAATAAATGGCGGCGGGGTAATTATCTTCGTTTTTTTTATATATCATATACAAAGAAAAATTTATATAATCCTTTTTTTTAACGCAGTCTTTAAATCCGGTGTTAGAACTTATAAATAAAGTTGAATGGCGAAAAGTGATTTATGATCTGTCAGAGAAATATCCCGATAGTCAGTTCTTAAACGTTTTGATTCAAGTAATTATTTATTTTATTATTATGTAAAAATATGCTTGCATTTCTTACAAGGAATTTGAAATTAATTAGAGAATAGCTGATCGAGGTTATGTTGGTGAAATAAAACATCTTAAAACCGCATCAACTTATATCGGAGTATATTCGAAGGTTTTGCTTGATCAATTTGATACGTTAATGGACGCAGATGATGCTAGTTTATCTAAATTTTTACCAGATTTGGTGGTTGGTACTTTATTTAAAATAAGTTATACCAATTTTTATTAGAAGTATTAATTTTCTTTTCATTTTTAAATAGAAAACAGCGGGTCAGTGCCCACACACATATCTTTTTGTTCAAACGTTAATAAAGCGGCTGATTCAAGTACCGAATGGTTACCCGTTAAGGAAATTGGCGAAAGAGCTTGAAAAGGGCGTTATCGATGGCCGGCACGTATATATAATTTGTTATATCATTCAGAAATTTTTAAAATTTTAACCTAATTCTTTTATTATTAGTAATGATCTTGTGGTAACTTTGAGAAATTTGTTATCAGCGCCGCCACCTGCTATTGCAACAGCTATACTACATATACCCCCAACTCCTGGAGATGTTGTTGCGGTAAGTCTTTTTGTATTTTTATTACTATATTATATCTGCTATGATTTACATTCTTCACGTGTTACAATTTTTTGTGGCGTTTATTCACCGTAGTTGCATAGGCATTATAATTCTGCGACACCACCTTCTCCAATATTTCTACGCGATCCTCAATTACTTTGTATGTAGTGTAAATAATCATTATTAAAATGTAATTAATAGTTGTTTAAAAATTATTTTATAATGTCAAACACGCGACTAAATTTATGCATACTATTATTTTAGATTGGTTATTGAATAACATATTCGTGCCTTCTGATAAAAATAAAAACTTGAAGCAAGATCTTAAGGAAAAATATTTGTATTTGGCAGCTTTTGCTTCAAGTGCCAAAGAGTTAATTAATGGAGAGGTAAATTGTTTTTATATGTAATAAGACTGTATTTAAGTTATTTTTTTTTCTATTCTTATTATGTTGAATTTGTAGATTGATTCTTCACAGGTGGATAGTACCTTTACAACACTTAAAAAACTTGAAGCCGCTGTATCTAGGAAAGGTGCAACTACTACTGAATTCGGTAGTATTGTCAAAGAAATTTTAGAATATATGGAGTAAGTTTCTTCGTTTGTGATGACATTTTTTTTTATTTTGAATATTATATCGTTTCTATGAATTTAGCACTCCGATAGCCTCAATGGCTCTGATATTTTGGATTAAACACTTATTACGCGATACATCATTTTACGAGAAGCATTTCAAACATCATGAAGTGCCGATTCCTCATTTGCTTCTTGAAGAGGTGAGGATCTTGAATTAATTCCTTTTATTTTTTTTAAAAATTAATCTTTATTTTTAATTATAATATTTTTATAACATATAATGGTAATTAAAGATTGCATTTCGTCACCCTTACCAACGAACACACGTTTTTAACGCGTTCAAAGCCGAATTGGAATCCAGTTCATGGAAACTTACACCAGAAATTATGGTTCCGTTCATTATATTATTTTGCTTGAATCATAAGCATGAAATTACCTGTTGGTTTACACGATATTTCATTCACATACATAGTTAGGGCTGCGTCAACAATTGTTGGATCGTATGATTTATTTGATACAGCTTGGATTTGTTATTCAAGTCGTGTCGTATATTGAAAAGCAAGCGAGAAAATTGGATGAGAAATTGCTGATCTATTTTGTCAAAAAGGTGTGTTTTCTCATCTTTATCCATGTAAACAATTGCATATTGAAATTAGAAGGATTTTTTTTAAAAAAAAAATGTTGATTTGCTTAATTATTATTTAAAATTTTTCTTTAAACTTGTTTAGGTCGTTCAAATGAGTGGATCACCTTATTCAAAAGATTTTTATAGTATAATGATTAAGTTGATCGAACCAATTGATAGTACATTAGAAGCTCAAACGGATACAAGATCATTGATTAGACAATTCCTTGGTAATAACGGAGTCTCGTGATTATTTTGGATAATTTATTTGTACTAATAGATATTCTTTTTAAATTTATGTAGGTGATTGCCCTCAAGAATTAAACGATAATGATTCCGTTTTTAGATTAAAACAATTGTTTTGTAAAGACTAAAACGATGCAATCTAAGTATAGCAAGGAATTTAGAAATATTACACACTCTTATCATTTTAGCATTTCAATTATTTAGCTTTATTAAAAATCAAAAAATCAAATTGTATATATTATATATACAAATGAATGATTGAAAATTAATAAAATTTTATATAGCATTGTTTTTATAATTAAATAATTTAATAATTAAAAATACAGTTTTTATTATATAAGTGGTAGTTAAATATACGGCCAATTCTCTTTATAATATTAATTCGTTATAAAAAAAAAATAGAATGAATTCATAATGTTAGAAATTATTTCTTATCTGAAAAAGCTTTAACAAATTGAACATTTTTTTAATTAATTTAAATTTTGATATTTTAAGATTAAGTAAAACTTATTTAATTCTTAAAAGCATATTTGATTAATAATAAACATTCATAACTAACTTATAACTTCTTTTCTGATTTATTTTTATAAATAATTAATATTTTAAAAAAAATTTTTTTTAAATTAATTTTATAAATATGTAATATATTACAACAAATTTTATCTTTTAATTATATAATAAAAATTTAATGTTAATTAGAATTTTTAAAAAAAAATTATTTTAAAAAATTTCATGATTAATCTATAATAAACTTTTTAGAATTTACTTTTAACTATATTAAATCATAATATAATATTATAAAATTATTTATAAAAAAAAATTTTTTTTATTATAATTTTTATAATTTATTAAGAAATTTATGACTTTAATTAATATTAAAGTGATTCAATTAATTTGCAAACATAAATTTTTAAAGAAATTTTTATAAAAATTTTTTGAAACTTAATTTTAAAATTAAATTATTTAAAAACCTTTTAAAAAACTTAAAATCTTTGTTAATAAAGTTGATAAAAAATATATTAAACATTATTTTTATATAATAATAATATTACTAAAATTAACGTTAATATTTAATATTTTATAAAAAATCACCAATTTTTTTAATTTTTGCAGGTAAATTTATCTACTATACAGTTTAAGGAATAGTAATTTTATTTATTTTAAACAAGTATATCTATTATAAGGATTAGAATTAAGTTTTGATTATTCAAATTACCTGCATTAAATCAGTTTGATCTAGTTCTATTTGACAACCTGGATATCTGATTATTTTAATAAAAAAAAAGCAGGTTTCTAGATGTTTTACGATTTTAAGAAGTTAAATCAATTGAACTATTTATCAAAATATTAATTTTCCTTTTCAATAAGATTTAATTTATAATTTGTAAACATTTATAGGTAAATATTCTACAGACATTCTAGCTGAATTTTTTTATTTTTTTTATCAAAAATACTAACAATTAGCTTGCAATTATGAATAGGCTTTCCTTTTGATATACATTCAAACAATGATAATATAATTGTTACCTCTAGTAATAAAACTCTTTTGATAACTTCATAAATTTTTTGATTAAAATAATCATTTTAAAAAATGCTAATATAATAAAAAAATTTGATAAAAGGTCTGAAAAATAATTGGCAAAAGCTTTTCTCTATTAATTTTAGTGAATGTAATTAATATAATGCTTATTTATTTACAGATATAAGGATAAAGAATATGACAGATATGATGTGTAATAATGAAGATCAAGTTAAATAAACTTATGACCTAAAATAATTTAAATATCTGATTTTATAAAATGATGCAGATATCCAGGTAATAAATTAAAAAAAATTCTATTTTCTAATCCATTAGTTTTTCTTATATTTAAATAAGATATCAGTATAAAATTTTATTTAATAATTAACTTGTAAATATATTTGGATAATATGAAGTTTAACTTTATTTTTAATTAAATATCAATATATAATATTTTATTAAAAAAGATTGTTTTATTTCAAAACATATGATTTAAATATAAAAAAAACTACTTTAAATATTTTTTATATAATATTATTAACTTATGATTTATTTATACTATTTTTTATTATATATTATTCTTTTATTTTCATATTTAATTTTTTTATATTTATATATTAATTATATTTTACTTTTTTTTTCTTATCTTATAGATATTTTAAAGTAAAAACTTTAAAAAAAATTTTTTTTTGAGTTAATGTTAAATCTGAATTTATATTACTAAAAAATTATATTTTATAAAGTAAAAATTTAATTTTTATAATTTTTTATTTTCTATTATAAAGCTTTTATATATTTTTATAAATAAAATCACAATTAGTTTTCTCTATTTTAGTGAATAAAATGATTTATTTACTAAAATTAAAATTTTTAAATTAAAATTTATAAAAATTAACATTTAATAATTTACTTAAAAATATAAATTTTTCAGTAAATATAACTTATTTTAACTCCAATACTTTATAATAATAATTGATGATAATTGCAAATATTTTATTAATATTAACTATGATTAAACTTAAATAACTTCTAATATTTTTTAATTATATAATAATTTTTTAGTTTATTAATCATAATAGCTAAATAACATTTGTTATAAAATTTTTCTTAGTAATCTTATATTATTATACCTAATCAAATATTTTCTTTTAATAAATTATAATATTAATTTATATTTTTTAATTAAAGATAGTTCAAAATCTCTTAAAAAATTATTCTATAAAGAAAAAATAGATAAATTCTTTTTGTATAAAGAATGTTTTTTATTTAAGTATTGGTAATTGATCAGATATATTAAACCTCAATAGCTATATGATTTAATAAATCTGATCTATTTATAATCCATTTGCATTATAGTATATATACTATAGTAAGAATGATAAGATTTTTCTTTGGTCTATTCCTAACATTATTCTATAAGAATCAGTATTTCCAAAAAGTGTGAATATTTGATTATATCTATTTTCAAATATTTTCAGAATAAAACTAATAAAGTTAAAGGAGATATATAAGTGCTTTAATACTTTATAAAACATGTAGATATTAAAATAATTATATGCTTTAAACATATTCTATAATAAAATCTATTATACGAAGCAGTTTGAAGGTTGATTTATATAAAAATCCAGTAAAATTAAGATTCTTAAGAATATTATATTTGATAACTATTATAGATAAATGATATTTGAGAAGTTTATAAGAACTTTATAAGTACATTTTAACTGTGTGATTAATTATATGTTAATTAGGTCATACTCCCAAGGTTTAACTTAGGAATCAAATATATAAATGTGTAGTTCTATTTATGTGATAGTGAAAATATTTTTAAGTATTTACAAATAATATACTATAAAGTCTTCTGGTATTTGGTTTAAGATTCTTAAGTATTTTATTAAAAACTTTAGATAGTCCTCATACCTTTTCATTAGGCAATGAGTTAATAATATTATACTATTTCCCAATAGCTAAAGAATCCATAAGATCATCATATATGCTCTTGTTTATATAATCTATAGGTTGATAAGCTGATAGTCAGTCTTTATCAGTTATATTTTTAAATAAATAAATAAATAAAAAATTGATTTTATATTAAATTATTGATTTTTATTATTTTTAATATGATTTTTTATAATTATTGTCACAATTTAATTATTATTATATAATTAATAATAGATTAACTTATTTTAACATTTTTTTTAAGTATTGAAAAATAATTAAAAAATTACATATATTCAGAATTTACAAAAATCTTTATTTAAATAATCATTTAATATCTAAATTAAGACTAATCCTATTTTTTCAGAATCTAATACAATTAAAAACTGCTTTTATATTCAAGTAATTAGAAAAGAAAAAAGGCTTAGCCCTTACTATACTAAAAATTTGACCAGTAAGATCTTAAATGAATTATTTTATCTATTAAAAAAGAGAAGTAATAAAATTTTATAATAGGAAAAATATTCTGAAGCTTCTAATTGAGATTTTTTTATCAAATCAGTATTATTATGTGATTTTTTAAAATCTTTAAATAGTAAATATTGATCAAGTCAAATAACATGAAATTGCTCAAATATAAAATATATAAAATTGAATATGATTGAGTTTGCATTATCTCTAAAGGTAAGTAATAAGTTGATGAAATTAAATAATTTAAAAGATATAATACCTTTGATCAGATCTAAGAAAAAGAATTGTTATTAATCATCCATAATATTAAATAAGATTTACTAGATATTATTTTGAATTTATAATGATAGTGATTATTTGTTAGTGAATACAAATACAAATTTATTGTGAAAGAAATCTTCATTTTCTATATTGTATTATATGTAAGGCTATGAATATTGAAGAATAGCATAATTTGAGAATTTCTAAAGTAGGAAGCATTTTAAGAAGTTGCTGTATTTTTTTTATTGCTGATACTTCATAACTAGTGGTAGAAAGAACTATATTATTAAAGATATAGAAAAATATAGCAGTTCAATTAATATTCAAGGAAGCATATTTGAAGTTAACATCAAGATTTAAAATTAAGGTTAATGTCTCAACATATGCAATTTTTTTGATGAAGAGTCAAATAGGTGAAGTAATCACTAAACTATTCAGTTGAAGTATAATATATTTCTACTTATTAATTGTTAGATATAGGCAGTAATATGTATTTTATACTTCCAATAGTAAAAAAATTGATTGAAAACTTTCAATTCAAATAATTTTATTAATAAACTGTATTTTTAAACCTTCCAGTTACTTTTAAAGGTGCTTCTAATCTTTCAATTACATATTACTAGGTATAGATAGGAGAATTTAATCATCTGATCAACTTTTTCATTAAAAGCATTATTAGAGTATGCTTTAACCTTTTCAAAATATATTGAGTAAGATAGATTATTGATAATTTAAAATAAACAATTTCAAATATAAATATTAATATACTTTAGAAATAAGTATGTGATAAAAAGATTACTGATAATAATTTATATTTGTTAAATTGAGAGATCATGATATTTGAATCAGTGAAGATTTTTATTTAGCATTCTGTAAGTGTAGTTATTGTAATTATAAATACTGTAGCTGATTTAGCTATGTATACAGTTACATAAGATAACA